TAATTTTAGTTTTTATAAGATTTTTAAGTGTTCTTAATATTTTTACTTAAAATATCTGATCCAGTTTATTTAGTATGTTTTTAAGATATAGTGCCCTTTGGTGATATAGCCAGGGGGCAAGTTAGCAATAGTCTTTAAAAAATATATAAAAAAATTAAAAAATTTTAAATTTTTTATAAATTACCTAATATAACTTTTGCATAGCGCATACAAACCGTAAATATCACTAAATTCTGGTAGAACATCAGCATCATACTATAATCCCAGACCAATCAAATAACTTTACTAAGCATAAACTCAGAAACTGGTTTGGTTATTTTAAATGATGAAAATAATAATATTGAATTTGAAGGCTGAAAAAAATATTTAGAGAATTTTACCTAATATATATTGTACTGACAGATTAGATATCAGGTGTGTTGCATTGTATATTGTCGTGGGTAATACTTCGTTCCTCGTACAATGTAATTAACTTTTTGACCTAAGTTCGAAAAAGAGAAGCTTATTAATACTCATTGTAGTAACTACAATTTTATGAAGAAAATTGGCGCAAATACAAATGAATAAACAAATAACAGTATCTTTGCTTATGGTTATCCTTTAATTGTAAATACTGTATATTTTTAATCATTAAATATGTATTTATAATATTTTATGCTTTACTTTAAATTATAAATAAATTTAAATCACATACATAAAAGGTATAGGCGAAGATGTCATTCAAATACGCAACAGCTAGTTTATACATGAATTTGGATTAGAAAAATTTACATTTTCCGCGTAGAAATTCACAAGTCTCAGTTTTAAAAATTATTGTTTGAGAAATATAGGTTTCACAATTATCGGATTAACTTTAGAATCTCTTGTATTTGAGATACAAAATTATATATCTAAATAAAGTAAAATGAATATATACACACTTTTACACTGATTATGTTTCTGTTAAATTTCTTATATTGGATATATTATTTTGGTATAAATACAAACTTTGCTGGATTTGGTCATATTGAAAATTTTAACTACCCTTTTTTTTATTTTATCTTAACCATTACAGATTTTAATGATTCAAAGCTATTAAAGTTTCCAATAATTCCAATGATTTCACTATAAACACAAAAATATTATTTGTCAGAATATTTATAAAATAGATTTTATAAGGTAACAGTTGCCATTAGCTAAATTAAATTTGCTAACAACATACTGTTCTCAATAGCGAAAAGGTTAAATGAATAAATGAATTCAAAATTTCAAACCCAAAAAGCAAGACCTTTTTCCTGAAAATAATGACTATTCTTCCAAATTAAATATTCAAAGTATATAAATTCTATTGAAATATTTCTTTTTAGTACTATATTACTGGTTTGTATTTACATTTAAAATAGTTTTTACATGATTTTGTTAATAATTCTTAACAAAAGCTAGTCATTAATTATGTAAAATTTCTATATTTTTACCTTTAACCTTTATCTATTTAGTCACTCCATAGCTGAGATTTCTATATAACATATCCTATTCAGTTAATAATCTTTTGTAATTTTATTATCATTATTATTTTTTCAAATATAATTAGTCTAACTTTAAATTTCAATGGAATCTTCTGTATCAATCTTCATACTTCTTGTAGTTGGTATAGTAATATTTTTTATTGTTATAGCATGTTATATACATCATTTTTGTCCTCAAAATCCATTTGGAGGGCCTCAAAAGGTTATTATTATTGAAGATAGAACAATTACTAATAATGCATAGTAATACACTTGTTCAATTTTACATGTTACTGCAAAGAGTCTTTAGTTCAAATTTTTGATTTTTTGTACTATATAATTGGAATTTTTAGTGTATAACATATTTATTATATAAATACACATCATTTTCTCAATGATATTGCATGATAAAAGAAATATAACTTCTTAGCATCATTAATAAAGTCTATATATTATCTTTTGACTGAACTGTTATTTTTGTAATAAATCATGTAATGGTAACAAATTAATATTTAATTTTTATGAATAAAAATTATATAAAGAAAATAAATCTTTTTTGTTAAAAATCTATACATGCAAAAGGTCTTTGTACTAATGGACAATATAATTGGAATTTTTAGAATTCTTAATGTATTTTTTGTGAATATGATCATTTTCCCAATATTATTGTATAAAACAAATAAATAAATCTTCTTATGCATACCAATAAATCTGAGAGTAAAAAAGCACTAGCAAATGCTCCTGGCGAAACTCAACCAAGAAACTCTAGCCAACACTCTTTGTAAAAAAAAACTCAATTTTAATTTCTCTGGATCTTCGTGATAATAAACTTAATTTCAAATACAAAATTGTCTTAATCTTGCTCTAACAGTTACTTTATCTCTTCTATTTATCATATTAACTCAATTCTACTTTTTGACCACAAAAATTGCTGCATAACAATTATTATGAATCTAAATAAAAAGATTGATTAAAAAAAAAAAGCATAATTTTAACACTCACCGGAGGTAAAATTTACTAGGTATGATGTTTCTAAAAATGGCTTTAATAATCAGTGGTTTATGAACTAATAAAAATGATCAGCAGTCTAAAAAGACTAGCCTCTAACTATAATTTAGGCTCTAACCCTAACTTTTAGCTTTAAAATTAGAAGTAAAATTTTTGATAAATTATACAATAATATTGAAAATCATATAGCGGTGAACTTCACCACTAAAAAAATTCAAAAAAGATTTTTATTGACTAATAAAACTGTTATTGGATGCTACACATCTAATAACTATTTAATATTTACATAAATTTTAATTTCACAATTTAATTTGATTAGTAAAATCTTTATCTCAAGCAGTCCAGTATATCAACAATCTAATGGAAGAGACAATAGACATCGAATTTTATGTCAATTATAGTGAATTTATTTCTAAACATGAACAAAGAAGTAGTTATAACAATGTTTTCATTATTTAACAAAAATTGAAAAGAAAAACAGAATATTTCTTGAACAATATTTGAAAAGTAAACATGGCAATTCTTTAATTTATTACTACGCACTCTATTTATATGAGGGTATTGCTGGTGCCAAGAATAAGAATAAAGCAATAAAATTAATTAATAAATATATAACCAAATTTGCTGATAATGGTGATTCTAGGGTTCAATTTAATATAAGTGATCTATATTTTAATAGTAAATTAGAGCTTCAAATTGATAAAGAAAAGGGTAAAAAATATCTAATGTTAGCAGCTAAAAATGGTGATAAAGATGCAATTACTTTATGTGAAAAGAATAAAATAAACTTTATCAATAAACAAAATTATTTTGAAAAATTTAAAATTGCTCGAAATCTTCATAAGTCAAGAAATATAAATAATGGACAAGAAGTAGAAAAAATAAATTGCAAACTCTTTGAT